GCATTGTAGCACTATGTGGATGAGGAGGGGGAGGCCGGGCAGGACTCACTGGGGATGTATGTTCAGTCTCTCCCGTTTTGAGGACCAGGTGACAGCAAATAACCCCTTGGGCCTGGAAGCAGGACAAAGCAGGAGGTGGGGCTGCCTGGGGGCTGTGAGCAGTGGCAGTGAGTGAGAGTTGGTTTTCGGCTGGCTGGGAAAGAGGGGAGCCTAGCTGGCCTGGGGGGCCAGGGCAGTGCTCTGGGCCCCCCTTGCCCCAAGATTGGCAGTTCTGAATGCTCCTGGTTCCTGTAACAAGAAGTCTGAGCTACGCTGCATCCCTGTGAACCAATAAGCCTTCTCCTCTACTTGCCGGCTGACAGTCCCGTCTGGCTGTGGATGGGGGTGCAGGGCCCAGTGACTCCCCCACACTCCGTGACAACCCGTCCTGGCCGTTCCACCTTGTTGTTCCTGCAGACCTGGGATGTGAATGCTCAGAACCTTAACCTGACTGGATCCTCCTGTGGTCTGGTGCGTCTCAGCCCAGCGTACCCCCGTCACCCACGAGCATCACAGGCATCACTGGCGGCATCTCTCTCTCCGTCAAAGATCTGGCCACTCGGGGTCGTTAGACACTTTGCACTTCTCTAGCGCCACCTGTTTCAGGATCTCAAGGCCCATTCACAGACTAACGAGTAGTCCTGCGGCACCTTAGAGACTAATATTTATACACCGCATCATGAGCTTTCGTGGGCAAAACCCGCTTCTGCAGATGAGATGAGCCTGAGGGGAGTGGGAAGAACTGAGGGGGGTAGGGGAGAGACATAGGCAGTGCTGGGGACACAGGGGAGACCTTGCAACCCTTACCTAGATACCTCCAAGCCTCCTGCGTGCACCCAATGCCCCCCAGCTCCCTGCATCTACCCATGCCCCCAAAGCCTTCTGTGCCACTGCACCCCCCCAACCACTTACATCCCTCTGTGAAACCCACCCCCACATTCTCCCTGTGCCCCCACCTCTG